CTTTGATTTTAAAGTTATGCCACTACAATGGTGTTGAACAGTCCTTATCTTCTGCTTACAAAACACAGGTAGGCACCCCAACCAGTTATCTGTGGTGAAAAATATAAGATTCTAATATATACAGGTTGTGTAACAAGTTGGTTTGGAAAGAGTCACAAATGTTTGGACAACGTATGGAAAAACAAAACTTTCCAGTGCTGTTTGATTTGTTCTTGTAATCAAACAGCAGCTTTTCACACTTTCTCCACAGTCCACTCTATTCTGTGTGTGGATGAAAGCCACATTTATTCCTTTGCCGCAGGTACAAAAAGAGATAAAGTACACTTTAAAAAAGAGATTAATTGGAACACCTTCCTGTTTAGGAAGAAACAGATGTAAATAATTCTATATTTCATGCTAAAAAGCACAGCCATTCGAAAGACTCATATTTTCTCATGGAAAACTACCCTGCAGGTTCTAGGTTACCAGATGAAAACTAGTAAATGTGGCTGGTGAGCTAAGTCTGAGTAGAGGTTTATATGCTACAGGCTGATGGTTTTTGTCAGTTCCTAGAGATCAAATATCTCAAAAATCACTACTCCTCATAGTATTGCCTATTAGACTGGAGAGCTGAACAAGCATGAAGTTAATTCCTTTTCTGATAAATGCAATATAGAGATCTGATTAATGCTCTTTTTTTCTCTTTGCCATGAACGGGTAAGGGTCTTCAGAGACTGCCTGTACTTGGCAACTCCTAAATAAATGGGTGCCTGAAGGCTGTATGTTGTACTTAAATTATTGCTATAGAGAGCACTTTAAAAGAATTTTGACTTCAGATATTCAATTTCAACCCCTCCTCCAGCAAAGTCTTATTAGCTTAGAACAAGACTTGTTTAGAAATGTGTTTGCTGCTTCCCAACAGGATTTCTATTCACGTGTCGTGAAATGAAGTATTTTCCCAAAATGTCATGGTAGACTTTTGTTAAAACAAAAGAGAGCAGCTATTGTTGCTGTCTAACAAACTTCTTTGGTTTGTCAATACATTTCCAAGCTTTACATGCTAGCTTTAGGGGAAAAAAGAAAAAAAAATAAAATCCAAGAACAGGTTTTTGCATGGACATGTTACACGTGAGGAGCTAGAATCAGAGCCTACCACAGAAAACTAAAGACTAAACATTTACTCAGTAAGACAGCAAAATCCATGTTACAAGATATTCTTTCTTTTTCCTTTATATAGCCAGGCAAAATTGTTTCAAAGGAGTATACTCACAGATGATTTAAACTATCAATAACATGTAGCTGTTTAAAAAAATGGGGCTACTCTAGTATCTTAGCACCATTTGATGATTTATTACTAGTCTTCAATTTCTCCTTTTCTGCACCAAGTGACTTCAAAGTCAAAAGTACCAGCATGCATCAATCTATAATACTCACAGTTAAGATATATTAGCAACTATATTTAGTTATGCTGTGTGTTGTTTGCTCATAGGGGTGTATATATTGTTATCAAGGGTCATATTTTAAAAATTTAAATCAAGGTTATGGTTATATATTCATAACACATTCTCAGAACCAAAATGAAAGCGATAGCCTTATGTTATTTCTTCTATTTTATAATGTACTAATGCTAAGTTCCATTTGTACCAGTTGCACCTGGTTACCACTGAAGACATTTTGTTGCCCTCCATCTATTCACAGCTCATTAGCTGAAAACAGAGAGCTCCCCTTGGGTCAGGAGTAGACATATCTGTGTGCCTTGCACACGAAGAAAGCCGAGACTTGAACAGGGACCCAATGGATCCCTGGGCCTATTTAAAAGCCCTTGTAGTCTCTAGGCAAGCAGCTCTACCACGTGTGCCAAAAGAGAGTTTTCCTTCTGGCAGAAGCACTAGGAGCTGTACAAAGTAGTCTCAGTGGGAAATCACTTAGATTATCGACAGGCATATGCCAGGAATTAAAGATATTCCTTGAAAACAGAGTTTTCTGGCAAACTGTTGGCGCAGTGCCTACCTGGTTCTCATGGAGCTTTTCTGAGGAACATTTCTGGAAGCTATGCAAACACACAAATGTTATAGTGATATCATCTGCTGTTCTGGAGTGGCACTAATGGCAACATCCACTGGCTGCCGAATACCTTTGTGCTTCAGGTACCCAGTTTTCTTAGACTGTTACAGTACGCTGTGAAGTTGCACTCTTATTTTCAACTTCCAGTGTGGTTGTGTTTACTTTCTATAAGAAGTAGGTTCCCAATAGGTCAGGTTTGCTTTTTGTTGGTTGCTTTCTCCAGCTTTCTCTTGGAGTTCAGTTTTCTACCCATTGCTGCAAGATGGGACTTCACAGATGTTTATAAATGTACGAGTTGAGAGGATAGTTGCCTTGTACAATGACAGCAAAATATTTAGTAAAACTCCTATACATGGCCAATCTGCCCCGCCCGCCCCCTTTTTTTTGGTGTGTGTTTTGTTTGGAAATAGCATCTACATTTTTATTAACTAGAAAATATTCATGCACTGCATAGGAAGACAAAACCACCTGTGACAGACAGCAAGTGTTCCCCAGGAAACAGAAAGAGCACATTATATAGCTCTTACGCTTTTTATCTAAACACAGCTAAAGCACTAGCTTTAGGCTTTAGATAGGTTCTTAATGTATATGGGCACTGGAACTATAAAGCAGTTCTGATATTCTCCTGTTTTGCCCTTTCCCTGCTTCTGGACTGTGTAGAATATAGAAGTATTAAATGACTGGTATTCGAGTCACAGAGGAAAATAGTTACATGGACACAGCACAGAAATCTGCAGATCATATTGGAAATTTAATCTAAGGAATTGTAAAGAAAATATATAAATTTAGGGCAAGTGAAAGAATTGCAGTTGCATAGGAATAAAAATAACCGGCCAGTTCCTCAAAAGGCATATATTTGGCAAAGCTGTATTGAATAATGGAATTACAGCAGCACAGTATCTATCCTTTTTGTATCACATTTTTCATGTAACATTTGCCAACTGGAAATTTTCCCAAAGCAAAATGTCAAGCAATTTTTTTTCTTAAATGAAAGTGTGAATGAAGCTTCCTTGATGGGTACAGCTCAGAGAGCACCATAGGTACAGCTCCCTGACAGCGTGGGACAGCAGTTTTTCATCTTAGCTCATTAAAATACTCTCTGTAGGGAGCCGTTCTATTCCTGAGTATGGCAGCACTGTGAGAAGGAAAAGAGGTAGTGAATGAGACAGGGAAAAAGAGGAAAAATAAATAAAGCTGATTGTGATGGGGTAGAAGTGTTTCATTCAAGTGGATCACAAAGCTTTGTTGTTCAGCAGCTGTTCACTGAAGTGTAGAAAGCTGTAAGTCTGCTTAGTCTGTAAGTCTCTTAGCCTGGAAAATGGTTGGAGAAAAGCTGGACATACTGTATTGGTAAATGTTTAATCAAAAGCAGAAGTTTCTTCCATACTTTTTAATACATATATCTATATGTGCATATATAAAACAACCCAACAGCACTTTCTCAGTTAAATTATGGTACATAAAACTGATTGTTTCATTGGAAAAGAGTCTATGTGTCTCCTCCTTGATACGCTTCCTCAACCTGTCCTGAGAAACAACTACTGAGACAAATCCCTCTAGTAATCATGGCAATCATTTCACACTGGAAACAGAACACAAGGCTGCTCAAATCATAGCAAGAGGGCAGATTTGTCTCCCCACAATTTCAAACATTTCAGGGCATTGCAAGAAGTACATAAATATTTGATACCACTTACAAAAATCTAAATGTTCAGGATAGATAAAACTTGTTCTCCACCTACAGGTATGCTTTCCAACTTATTCCCTCGTTATTGATTACAAACACACCTACTACAGTTCATTTTTTAAAGATGTCTTCCAAAGACAGAAAATTTCCATTGAGAGGTACTCATCGTCCTTTTCAAAGTAAACCGATGCTTGACACATGATCATACAAGATACAATGTGCATCTAAAACAGAAATCTGAGAAGGAAACGAAGAAAATCAAAGTAACGCTGACCAGAAAGACAAGACCAGAGCTCAGCTCTACCATATCTGGCCCAGCTGCGGCACAGGCGGTGGCCAGCTGGGGATGCAGCCCGCTTTTATTTGTCTGAATAACAGTTTTCCCACTTTTTAAAGTTAGGCTTGCAGGCATGGTTACCTAAATAATTTGCAAATAAGAAGACTTCGCGGCAGTTCTGAGGATGAAACTGTGCTGCTGATATGGACGTTCACAGCTCTCAGGAGTGTCGTGAGAATTATGCATGTATTAGTAAGGGATGAATTTCTGCCCTGGGAATTTTAGATTAGATCCGTACCAGGCAATAACTTTACTTTAATGTATCAAACTCTTTTCCCAACAAACTGTATTAGCCTGCTACTCCAGTTTCTGTTGGTGTCTGGCTCAAAAAACACCCGACCACCCTCTAGGGTAATGAACAAACTCGCTTGGATCTGAAGGTGCTGACGCTGCATCTCGAATTGGCAACATTTCAATGACTCCAGCGGGAATCAGTGGGCTGTGGCAAGGACCTAAAAATGTTACAGGTGAAGACGGGCAGGCCTGCTGGTGGAGGCGGGTAGGAAGGCCCCGATGTCGAATGTGCCATCGCGACGGAGCCCCAGAACAGGCCTTCTCCGGTCATGCAGAAACCTTCACACCAACACAGTTTTGTTTGTTTCCATCACTTTCTCACAAAACAAACGCATCCCCCTCCACCCCCCCACCCGCCCCCCTCCTTTCTGAATGTATCGACAAAAGGAACAGCAAAACAAATAAATAAAGACTTAGCCTCTGCTTTGGGGAAGCCGCCTTTTCAGGTTTCCGCCTTGGCGGTGACCCGTCTGGAGCTGGTAGGCATCAGTTTTCACGGAAAATGGTGGGTACGGAGGGGGCCAGTGG